ATTCGTGTACTCGTTGTTTCGTTCTCGTTCTTCGTTCTCTCTCTCTCTCTCTCTCTCTCTCTCTCTCTCTCTCTCTCTCTCTCTCTCTCGTAGTCTTGTGTTATTTTTGTGTAAGCTATCATTACAGAAAGATGAGATGTCAATTAAATTATAATGTCACAGGGGATCTTGAACTCTTAAAATGAGATAGTGCTTAGGTGTCCTCAATTTTGATTCTCAAGGATTGATTTGAAGGCATCTAAGGGGCACACAACTGGCACTGTTTTACTGAGTCCTTTGAGACTTTTGATTGGGTATTGGTATCTCACTTTAAACTTTTGACTTCTGATATTTCTGCTTAGAAAACAGGAGTTTTGTTCAGTGTGGCAAGAAGTAATTCATGAAAAAGAAGAATGGGTTTTAATGTTGGCATTGTGCATAGCCACTATTGGCAAACATCCACCTAGATTGGTGGCCAGTAACTGAAGGCAACATAGGTGGGTCACAAGGGAGGGAGCTAATCAGTTGTGCAGGTGGTTCAGGTATCTGCTTTTCGCACAGATAATTAATGTGTACAAGTAGCTGCTAATTGCACATTTCAGGAATGATTTATGAGAGAGCAGAGGGGAAAGAAGAACATAATCTAATTTCATTCGGAACCTCTGCCATTGATACAATGGTATCAGCACAGCTGTGAGTTGGGACATGATTAATGAACAGGGAGTAAACACACCAGTATTATAAGGAGTGTTGTTTTCGATGGCATGCATGCCAAAACTGAAAGTGGCTTAGACAGCAAAGGGCCAATTACGCTACATGTTCATTTGCATGTCAGATTCACCACCGGTTGTTGGGTATGGAATAATGTGGGCTTTTTTTTAACATCCATCAGGATATTTCCTGGATTAAAATATCAGCTAATTTTGAGCATAAACTTAAACTATGCACCTATTTTCTTTGCGGATAGAGTATCCATATATATACATTAAAAATGGCTTACTATATTATTCTGGTGGTTCTATGTTGGTGGCTGCCTAAGAATACTATAATCTCCATGTGTGTGTAATATTTTGTTCTCTCAACCAGGACTGTGCCAAAATAGCTGAATAGAAATATCTCCTGGGGTGTGTGTGTTATGAACAAAGAATTCAATTTTCACATTTTCCTCCTCCTTACTTTTACTATTATTAAATAATGAAATGACTGGGGGTTTTCATATCAGAAAGCATAGTTCCTTACTTTTAAAAATCTGAAATGATCTTTATTATCACTAGTATAGTAGCAAAGTTGTGCATTCTTAAATTGACAAATTTAAGTGACAAATTTGAAATATAAATAAATAAACAAATTTGAAATATAAATACATGTCAATAAGTACTTAAAACGTTTAACAGTAATTTTTGATGCTGAGATTTTGTTTTCTCAGCATACTAGAAAACTTCACAGAATTTCCTAGCAAACTTCATTATTTCTTTTTATGTTTGTTTTATGGTTGATATTTAAAAATGCTTTCTATGTGCCATGAAATAATGAAGTATGGCACTAGCAAAATCTCAAAGCCTAGTTACAACATGGTAATTCAAAATGTTCTCAGCTATTCTTATTTTTAAGCAGAACAGAAGTTGTATTTATTTTAATGTTGTCTTCTTGTTTTTCTTCCATTAGCTTTTGGAATTTGACAAAGAGCTGTCAGTTTTTAAAGACAAATTGTATGAACTGGACATTTCATTTCCTCCCAGGTAAGAGAGAGAGAGAGATTGCTTATTTAATTAACATCCTGATCCTAATACACTTGAAATATAGTAAACTAATTTCACGGTCATTATAATATTATTGTTAGTGGGACTGTGAAAAGATATGATTCCTTCCCAAGATTTCAACTTTTTTTTAATTGAAACCAGAATATACGTTAATATATTTGTATTGGTATTGTAAACGTTTCTATGCAGATTTAACTAGGAGTAAGAACTATGGGACCTTTTTCTGAACAGAAATTACAGAATGATACCATAGCAATTTTATCATTTTCTTTTCTGCAGGTTTGTTTACTGTACACTTTTATTATATTATCTGTTTCCTGCTATCATGATGCACAAGTTGCTATCTTTTATATTCTGCTACTGTATAAAATTACAGGATTTCCCCTCTGAAATAAAGCTTACTATTCTAAGAGTAGTAAGAGAAACACTGAGTGTGAATAGCCAAAAATTGATCAGACTAATGGCTTAAACATTTTCTATGACACATCTCCACCTATCAGTTTCTTCCCCTTCTGAATTATCATAATACATTTTTTTGGGGGGGGGGGAGATGATTTTTAACCATTTTTAAAGAAGATATATAAAAAAGGAACAAGAAAAAGGGATAAAAGAGTAAAATTTTCACAAAGCGAATAGACGAGGGATTTAAAAATGACATTTTTAAAGAAAATTATAATTTTCCAATGTAACATAGTTAATTATGAGTAACTGAATATATTGTGGAGTCCTTGGGGTTCTCTGAGTTTGGTTGTTTTCTTGCAAACGTCTCGTTACCCGGCTAGGTAACATCTTCAGTGTTAGCACTGAAGATGTTACCTAGCCGGGTAACGAAATGTTTGTAAGAAAACAACCAAGCTC